AAAAAGTAATTATTTTATCTTTAATAATAGAGAACGACATTTTATCCATCTTATAGCTAAGGATAGAAGGAGAAGTGGATAATTATTCAAAAGGGTTGTTTATTTACTTCTTAATAGTTTCATTAAAAGGCAACATTTGAATCATTAAGAGGTGAATTTTGTTTGGCAAAAAAAAAGTCTGTCTCTTAATGGTTCTAAAATCTTCTAAATGATTTTATATCCCGAGTCTCCATTAACCAATAAGTGTCCTGATTTCATTATAAACAATTACCAAATAGTTATATTTCATTTTGCACTATATCATGAAAGCCTCTTAATCATTGTGCACCAAATCATTCAACAACTGTCAAACACCCCCTTAACATAAACTAAAATAGTAATGTAAATACTTTTTTAGAACGGATAGATTAATTATGAAGATTTTCTCTTATCTATTCTACATAATTTCTTCCTTTTGAATAATGATTTAAAGATTCTGATAGGGCATCTTTAACGATAACACCAAATATTACACAAAATCTATAAAATTGGTGTAAAATATGGTATAAATGACAAACCTATTCGAAAAGGGTCATCAAATCTAATACCAAAATATAAAATTTTAGATATATTTTATTTTATCTTTTTCAATTGGTGTAATAAAATAAACAGTATACCAAATTTTGTGTAAGATATAATGTTTCCATTTAATTGATCAGTTGTCGAATTTTTATATTTGATGTATCAACGACAGATGTCTTATTTAATATTTATACCAAATAATTAGATTAAAAATTAAACTGATATTACATAATTTTCTTATAATTTTAAGAATATAAATATAAATATAAATATAAATATACAATGAAGGTTTATTTGATTTTCTTTTAAGCAGAAATGAACAAACATGAAAGCTGCTCTCAACATAAGCGACAAATTTAACCCAAATAATTGGTGTACTGTGAGAGTGAATTGTCAAACTCCATTGATTTAACAATAATCCTTCATGTAAAACAAACCAGATTAAATCAACATCTCAATCAAAAAGAATTTGAAGCCAGGGGTGTTTGAAAACAACAGTAGGGTTGTTTAAACTAGTCGAACTAAATCAATCAGACTGTTTTTTATGGTTTGAATGGTCTGGCGGTCCGATCTACAATTTAGACGTTTTTTTTGGGCGTTTTAAACAGAACCAACCACCCAAAAAGTTTACTTTTCAATTCTCCGTGTTATAAGCCCAATAAAGAATGTTGTTCGTCCATATCTATAATACATTAGCCCATTAGGTAAATCGGCAAATCAAAATCCAAAAATGAAAATTCCAGTCGACAATTCAAGAAAATCACAATCAAAACCCCTTGATTCAAGAACAATCACAAATAAAAATTCAAATTCAAGACTTCCTGTAGACGATTCCATTTCTAGACTTCAGTCTACGAACTCGACCATTACATACTTCAATCTACGAACTTAACGATTCCAATAGATGATTCCACGATTATAGACTTGATACTTTAGTCTATGACCTCAATGTAAGTGATGCTTCGATCCAATCCTTTTTGGAGATATTTCTTGAAAACGTTTTTGCCTAGAGGAGGATTATTAATTTATTAGTTTATTTCAAGCATTGGAATTATTGGTGTCCGTCCCTTGTTTATTTTCTTCTCTACTTGCTCAATTTTTATTGTAATTTTGGAGACAGATGATTCTTTTGTAATTTGGTATAATATCTTTCTATAATATTAAATTGGTAAAAGTTTATTTTTTTTTGAGATATATGTTATGTTTTTTTCAGTTTAAAATGATAGGCATAAACCACCTAAATCAGTAAGATCAGATCCCATTTTTGTGGTCCGATTTGGTCATTGAAAATTTTGTGATCCGTCATTTGGTTTGTGGTTTAAGGGATTAAACAGCTAATCAAAACTTTCTTAGGGGCCGTGTACTAAACACTTATTTGGGTAAGCGTTTATCAAGTCATATCACCTCATCGGATGAATATGGTAAGGACTAAAAATCTTATCCGGTAAGAGTGAGACAAGGACCATGAGTCTTACCCGGTAAGTGAAGGCGATCGACTTTTACCACGGTAAACGCTTATCAGATGAATTGTTGCATACAATGTCGTTTTGATGGACTAAAATCTTACCCAGTAAGTAATTAATAGTGTTAAATTTTACCGGTAAACACTTACCGGGTAAGTGTTTGGTAAACGGCCCCTTACTTTTTTTCATGTCCATCTCTCATATCTACAAGGAAGGGAACCAAAGTGCAGACCCCCGGCATGTTCGCCACTGGGCCGAGTATTTGCCACTCAAAGTTATAGGGTTCATTGAATTGTTATAAGAATCTGAAAGCTAATGAATGGTTTTCACCTTTTCCACTAGTTGGCTCCAAGGTGACAACCCTGATGAACCGACTTGGGAAATTGTGGCCGACCCTGCCTACACCTTCCTCGGAATATCGGACCTCAAACACTCATAATGTATATCGTCTATTGTTTTATTCCAAATAAATAGAAGGATTGTTTATGTAAAGCTTCATTTTTTTTTCGAAAATGTGTAAACAAAAAGATAAAAAAAAAAAAAAACACGAGTATATAATAAGCAACAAAATAGAAAAACTATTTTTTTTATTAAGCTTTGTATGAATTAAGTTGTTTCTAAGGATTTACTTGTTTATATGAGTTAGGCTAAGGGGTTGTTTACCAAAAATTTTATTAAGTCTTGTATGGATAAATTTGTCTGTCTGAATAAATGGGTGTTGTTGCTTACTTTTTTTTTATCTGTACCAACAGTCTGAATAACATAAATGATCGATTTACCTCCCAATATTAATTATTTGAACATCAAAACAAAAAATCATAAAGACGCCGAAGATGTGGTGTCTCATATGGGAAGGAGGCAGTGCTTTAAATAAGGGATATGGGTGTCATTTTTGTGGTTGAATGGGGACAACATACCATTTCTATCTGTGCGATTAAGCCATGTTCTGTGCGAATAAGCCGTAAGTAAACAACCCAAATGAGTTGTACGAATAAGCCAGCCAGATAGACCAATAAGCCTAATTAAGCCGCAAGTAAACAACCCCTAAATTAATGTCGGGCTGCTATGCTGAATAACAGATCTGAATAAAAAAAGTGCCTATTTTACCTCTAAGATTAAAAAACATGTAAAAGTTGTCTCCATAAATAAATACTAGTCTCTATATTCAAGAAGTGATTAAAATTGTGTTTAGAAAACAAATTAAATATCGAATACAAAATCTAGAGATTTTTCATTATCTCAATTCCCAAATTTCAAATAAAAAATAAGCATGAAGGGTGCCGATGAAGGCAGGAGGCAAGTGCTGATGAGTAGGAGATGAACATCGATGAGTTTAGTGGTGTGAGAGGATGGAGCATCGATGGAAGGTTTATTCTGACAGAGAGGTAGCATGAGTCTTTTCAGGGCTGAATGTAGACCAGAGAGGGTAGGAAGCTGCACATATAAGTTGTTACTTTATTTATTAAGTCACAACCAAACACTTAAGTATGGCTTATTCGGTAAGCCATATAGGTTATTAAGCCATTATGGAACAGACCCCAAGAAGTAGGTTCTTTAAAAACATAAGAATTGTAAGAAAAAAACATACATCTCCTTATCCTGGTTATTTAATGTTTTCAGACCGTTGTTATAACACTTTATCTGTCTGAAGTTCATTCTTCATTTTCCAGACAGTCTTTGACTCTTTATCTGAATCTCAAAGACGTCTGACTTGTAGAATCCGATAGCATTAGAATGAAAATTATATTTGACCAAATTTGTTGGCCTGTATGGTTCGCGGGTTGGATAAACTGGATTCCACAAAATTCCATCCATTCCACGGTTGAGATCAGGTATTTGATCATTTCATTGCATAAGTGAAGCAATTAAATTTCATTGCATAAGTGAAGCAATTAAATTTCATTCTTTGGCAACGTCAAATATTTTATAATTTGATTTTTAAAAGACAAAATAACATTAGAATTCAATTTAATCAACGTCATTGGTTCACCAACACACCTACCACCCACCATTGTCGCGGTCTCTACTGCCTCGGTCTCCACTGCCTCATCGTCTCTGTCGTCTTTACCTCCACCATCTTATTAAAAGACATATATCTTACTAATGGTTACTAACGGTCACCAAGTAGTTATGAGATGTTACAAAACAGTTAGGAGCATTCAGAATCAGTGAGTTTACTTACTGATAAGCATTAGTGATAGTATCAATGTCTAACTGGTCAACATCATTGAGAACACTCGTTGATTAGTGCCACCAATGACACTTGCTAATTAGTGTCACTAAACACTAAACATTGAAGCTCTCGCGATGAAAACCTTAGACATGTAAAATAGACATTGAAGCTCAAAGTAACAACTTCAATATCAGCCTCTCATGCACTGACACGAAACCACAAGGGGCACTGCCCTTAGACCCTACAAAGGGTGCGACCCCCTTGACCCCATCATACTGCAATCTTCAACGATCTCAACTTCAAATTAACTTAAATAAACATGTCGTTCGCACCTCCTAACTTTTATTATAGTCTTACAAAGAAAATCTTTATCCTCATTTATACCTTAATACAGTATATAATCGATGACACTAAAATTATCGACACATTCTTGGTATCGAAAATCATTTTTGATACAAGTACTAGATGCAAATCATTTTGAGAAATAACAATACTATTTTATAGAACTTTAAAACAATAATTTATTTATAAAAAATTAAAAAAATTACTGCTTTCTTTCAATAAATAAGTGTACACAGTAAAAATGATACACAGTTTTAGACATCAATAATTATTATAATTTTTAGTTAATTAAATGACTATTTTATCGTGGCTGATAAGTCTCTCTTAAAAACTTTTAAATATTTATGATTTAAATTTAATTATTTATTTTAGAAATTGAGACGGAGGAAGTAGAAGAAAATGAAATCATGGAAAATAATAATTCGCACATTGGGCTTAAAAGTGGGCATTGTGGATTGACCAGCATCGGTTGCCACAAAGGCATGCAAGCAACAGTCCCCCTGTTTGAACGCCAGTTCTTTCAAGCATTTCGTCGAACACTTTCCACCTCTTCTCCCACCCAAACTCTCCTCAATTCAAGAACTTTTAGATTTTGTACGCAAGCAACTGATACTTCAGAATCTATCCAAGTCGGAAAGGAAGAACTCAAGTACGAAGGCCGAACAGTTGACGGTTCGCAACCAACCAGAGAGGGTAAAGAAGAAGAAGAAGAACCCAAAAGCTTATGTGGGAGGATAGAGAGGCTAGCAAGAGGCGCCCCTGTTGGGTCGGCGTTCCAGAGCTGGATGGGCGATGGATTTCCCATTCACAGAGGCGATATTTTTCTCACCATTAATCGTTTACGCAAACGTAAATTTAATAAGCGTGCTCTTGAGGTAATGCTTGCAAGGTGTTCGTTTAAATGTCTAATAGAATATGCCTGAATCTTTTAGCTTAATTTTCCTCTCGTTCTTATCGAATAGCCATCGTAATATCGAGAATCTTAGGACGATGTGATAATAAACGTATATACTGGAATCACACACCAGGCCGGTTTCTTCGGCAAACGGCAATTTGCTCCTCACTCTAATGATAAGTGTAATATCCTTTTGGATTATCGAGGCAATGTGGTAGCTGAAAAATGTTGGGAAAATCTTGAACTTTTTCTTTGTGGAAGTGAGGAATTATCATTCATGATTCTGATTTTTGCGCCTTCACAATGCAGAGTTTTCAGTTCATTTTGAGACAGCATGATATCAAATTTTGTTTTTTGACTTGATAAAATTGGAATGCATCTGGATATGGACCTGATATGATTTTTACATTCTTTGAAGTGTTATGTAAACCACAATAAGAGAATCATCCCACCAAGAGACTTCATGAAAAAAAAAACTCTGCATCCCAATTTTTCAGCTGAGGTTTTAGTTTATGAAAGAGGGTGGTGATTAGGGGATGTTGATCTTGCCAATGCCCCACTACTCATCCAGTTGCAGAGCAACAATAGTCACAGAAATTTAATCATTTTTGTACCTTGATAACATCTCTATCATTAGCTGTTTCTCAGTAGTAGCCTTTAAGCATGAAGATCTTACAAATTTGTCAAATCTTTCACATTCCCTTGAAGAAGATTTGATGTTCTCAGCTTGCCATTCTTTCTTAATGCCAGTGTAATAGTAGCTACAAAATCTTTGGAAAATCCCATTGAATTTGAGAAATTAATTTGCATATTTCTGTGAAGATATAATGGATGATTTCTTGTTGGGTTTATTATCGTGAATTTGCATACCTTTTAATATGGTTCAGGTGATGGAATGGGTGATTAGGGAACGGCCCTACATGCCAAAGGAACTGGATTATTCATATCTATTGGAATTCACAGCTAAGCTTCATGGGATATCACAAGGTGAGAAGCTATTTTCTCATATACCTTTACAGTTCCAGGATGAGTTGCTGTACAACAATCTTGTGATTGCTTGCCTGGATAAAGGCATGATAAGATTATCATTAGCTTACATGAGAAAGATGAGAGAACTCGGTCACTCCATCTCGTACATGGTTTTTAACCGCCTAATAATCCTCCATTCCTCCCCTACCCGAAGAAAATCCATCCCTAAAATCCTCACTCAAATGAAAGCCGATAAAGTGGCCCGACATGTCTCCACTTTCAACATTCTTTTGAAAATGGAAGCTAACCAACACAACATTGAAGGGTTGATGAAGGTTTTTGGTGACATGAATCGTACAAATGTTGAGCCAAATGAGATAACTTACTGTATAATCGCCACCGCGCATGCTGTAGCTAGGTTGTACACTGCTTGTGAGACTTATGTCGAAGCTATCGAGAAGGCAATGACTGGGAATAACTGGTCAACCCTAGATATACTCATTATATTATACGGGTATCTGCAAAAACCGAAAGATCTAGAAAGAATATGGAGAACCATACAAGAACAACCTCATGTTAAATCCAAAAGCTATATGCTGGCCATTGAAGCTTTAGGCAAGATTGGAGATATAAGTCGAGCCGAAGATCTATGGTCAGAAATGAAGTTAAAGGAAGAGTTAAAATCAACGGAACAATTCAATTCGTTGATATCCGTTTATTGCAGACATGGTCATGTTAGCAAAGCAACGGGGGTGTATCGGGAAATGGAGAAACATGGATGCAAACCAAATTCCATAACTTTCAGACATCTTGCTGCTGGTTGTTTGAAAGCAGGGTTGGTGAAGGAAGGTCTGAAAACATTAGAGTTGGGTATGGATGTAAACACGAGCATGAGTGTTAAAAGGTCGACCCCATGGTTGGAAACGACTTACTCGATGGTCGAAGCTCTTGCAGAGGACGGTAATGTGGAAAATGCAGAGAAGCTGTTCGATGAATTGAAGAAAGCTAATTATGCCAGGTACACTTTTGTTTACAATGCATTGATAAAATGTTATGTGAAGGCCAAAATTTATGATCCAAATCTTCTAAAACGTATGATTCTTGGAGGGTCTAGACCCGATTCCGAGACCTATAGCCTTTTGAAAGTTCTTGAACAGTTTCGTCGATAGTTTTGCTGATTAATTTGCCATTTCTGTAACAATTGTCTTAACAAAAACAGTCTGTTTTATCTTCTGGGGTAGATGACATGTTCGAGTAAGATATAATGGGTTGGTTTGATTTGGTTTTGGTTTTGTGATCAATAGCAATTGTGATTCAAAGTGATTAGTGTATGCCATCGCAACCTAAACAGAGATAAAGATTTACTGATATAGTCCTTGTTTGTTTCTCTAAAGAAAACTTTTATCATCCTCTAATTCGTTATCAGGTAGGGACATTTAGACTGTTTGGTTTTTTTCAATTTTCGAGGCACTTATGTTTTATTGTCCTCTTATCTGGTAAGAGGTAAACGAACTTCTTATTTGCCTCTTATATTCTTGAAACCCTCAGCAACGACGTTTCTCAATCGATTAACCTTAATTGGTCCTTTCTCTCAGTCGATCCTTACCAAATTGATCTTCACCTCTCTCAATTGATGTATTTTAATAGGATTTAGAATTGTTAATATGTCAATGACATATTCTCGTTTAAATGAATGCTAATTATATGATTTAGATGTAAATTTCGTAATGAAGATGAAATAAATATGTGAAATTGTATAAATTTTTATCTATAAATTCAACAGTTTAATTTTTTGATGGGTAAAATAAACAATTTAAACAAATTCAGACATTTATTAGTTTACAAAAACAATTATTGATCATGCTTTTCGATTTCAGCACCATCTCTTACTACTAAGAAGTGAAATTAGACTTTAGACTTTAGCACATTTTAAAAAACAAACATCACCCTGTTGTTTATTCCACCCCACTTTTCACATTGTGAAGTTTGGGGATCAACAAGAGACATAGTGAGAACATTCCATGACAATTTTTGTCATTCCCTTGCAAAATCACTTTCCTATTCCCCTCATGACGGGAAAAGTGTTTCATTAAAGTAAAAGTTCACAAATCTTGTGGTAAAAGGATCATCCATCCGTCAAAGGTTCTAAATAGTAGATAATTGATGGTGATTCATATCCAATGTATATACTTAATCGTCTTTGATGACCCAGTTTGATGCACTGTAGGGGTGTAACTGTCACATATATTTCACAACTTAATATGTGTACATGTGAAATATCATGTTCATTATACGGTTACCAATTGGTAGGCATACAAATGATTGACTAGCGGTGGGTCTAAAATGAATAAATAAGTTGCATATCTTAAGATGGTGAATTGGTGCAAATAACCAATGCTCTAGTTATCATCTATATCCTTTTGATTGCAGCTTTTAGGACCATTTTGTGTGTACACATGAGGTATGCTGCTTTACATTAATCTTAATCTTAATCTTAATGCAATAATCATCAAATGTTTGTAACGTAAATTCTCTAGCGTTACCAAATTGTATAAACTTGGTGGATGATCAGGGCGGTGAGCCCTTATACATATGGTTTGTGTCGAGAATTTTGTGAGTAAAGCATTTTATGTGGACAAAATAATGTGACATGTATCCATTCTGTCGAAACATCAATCAAAACCATAAAGTATTTGAATAACTCGCTTTATGAATAAAGGTGCCACAAATATCGTTGTAAGAATGAGATGTTTTGTTTGTGTGTCTTTTAACGTAACGGTCTCATTCTTGTCTTGGCTAAGAGCAATGTTTGTAAAAGTTCTAAGTATTCAAAACTATACATTATGATGGTGATGTTGTTTCTTGTGCTACAGATGGTAAAGTTACAATTATTTTATTATACTTATGGTTTTTTTTCTTCTCAAAACTAAATGACTCATAATTTTGAGACCGTCCCTTTTACTTTACCATTATAATTATCGTAGCAAACATTCTTTTCCTTCTTTTTCGTTTTTGCCGACATCCATTAACAACAAAAAAATATGATGGATCCAAGGAGGAATAAAAATCTCTTTGTGGCCACGGAGGTTCAAATGCGGTGACTCCGAGCTATCTGCAAAGCAGGTGGTCGTCCTGAGATTAGTCGGCTTGCATAGCGGGTTGGATATCCAGGTTAATAAAAAAAAATGATGGATCATTAATTAGAATATGAAAATATATTTGACATTTGACATCTAAATTTCATGTATTGCACTCTGAAAAATTATTTCAGCTTCAGGTCTTTACCTCCTTGCTTTTGCACCCATTCATCGTTCTCCCTTCGTCGTTAGCCCTCCCCATATGCCATCATTGTTGTTTTTCACCGTTGTAGGCAATTATGAGTTAAAATATGTAACAGATTTTCAAACTTTATGGGTTTATATGCGTAATGGGTACGAGTCAGAAAGACATTTTGTTCTTCGTTCTTGCTACACGTTTCGATTTTTCGAACTTGCATATATATGAGGTATGAATTACTAAGGCATTTTGTTGTTCATTTTCGGAATTAAAATGATGTCACGTAAACAAATCTATATCAAGTAAGTTAATAACCTGTTAAACAGTGTATAAAATAGGAAAAACTGAAAGTTTGCTATACTGATTGACCAAAAATAATGTTCATTACACTAAGGAACCGTTTACCAAACACTTACCCGGTAAGCATTTATCGATAAAATTTAACACTATCATTTACTTACTGGATAAGATTCTAGTCCACCAAAATGGTAGTGTATGCAACAATTTACCCTGTAAGCGTTTATCGTGGTAAGAGTCGTCACCTTCACTTACCGAGTAAGACTCTTGGTCCTTACCATATTCATCTGGTAAGATAATGTAATTTGGTGTTCACTTACCCGAGTTAGTGTTTGGCAAACGGCTCTTAAATAAGAATTAAACCGATTTTTATTACATTTTAATGCATTTTTCACTCATTAAATTAAAACTGAGATTAAAAAACTCTACTCATTCAATTAAATATTTTAAATTAAAGAAAAATAATATACAGAAATTTGTACACAAAACATTCCAATTTTGACATACTTTTATTTTTATAAATTAATAAAATAAAATAATATACAAAATAATTGTATTTGTGAATTTAAAATAAGGGGAAAAGTCGGTGGGATGGGGTGGCACTTGGCCACTTTTCTCGTGACATTTAATTTTCCACTCTCACTCCCAACCATGCACCACCAATTCCACGTGTCTTTCCTTTTTCTTTAAACACAATAATTCATGTATTTTAAATAATCTATTAAAAATATTGAAGATTTTTTTTATTAATCTGAATATCCAACCTGCTATACGAACTATTAATCTCAGAACAACTATCCGTTACAAGGATAGTCTGAAATCATCGCATTTGAATCTTCGTGGCCATAATGGTATTTTTTTTATTCCTTCTTGGTAAATACTGAATTCTATGAAGGTGTACCAACGGGAGACTGGGGAAACCAGGTTTTTAGAATTTTTAGGGTTTAATTATATATGTTATAGCGTTTGATCTTGTTATATGTTTTAACATTTAACCCAATTATGCATGACATTAAAGACTAATCTTGATTATGATGCACATGTTAAAGATTTTGTTTCGAATAATATTACAAGTATGAGTTTATTTAAATGAATTTTGTATGTATTAAAACATTGTTTTAGTTTGTACGACTTTTAATATGATATATGATATAAACTTTTATGTTGTTATATTATTATTTATTACTTGTACGGTTGATTTGCAATATGGATACAAGTGTAATAGAGATTTCAAAATTATTGGAGTGGGTTTGTAAATACGTAGTTAGGTTATTGTAAAACCCTTCAACATTCATTTTGAAATTACTGACTTGAAAAATAAAGATTAGATTTTGGAGTCTTTTTAATAAGTCGTCAATTCGAAATGTTTATAACCACTTGGAATTTTGCTAATTGTTATATTTAGGACCCATGAAATTAATTAAAATACATACAAGTTGAATCAAACACCATAATTACCAACAAAAAAAAAACTTTGTGTATATATGTAGTTCGTTTCAAATGCAATCCATCATATTTGTACAACCAATGCACCTCAATAAATTGAGATATTTATGAAAATGATGAGAATTCATTTATTATGATTTGAATATTTATAGAAGATGAATATAGTTCATTAATTATGATTAATACTTTATATTAGAAAACAATCAAAACTTTTATATAACCACATATTTATTAAATTAAATGAACGGTTGAGATTGAGTTATATTGATTGTACAAATGTAAAGGGTTGTATAGTAACTCGCTTCTATATATATATATATATATATATATA